TCTTCAACCTGCTGAGGTTGAGAAACACTGCTCTACTGTACACTGTTTGTCCCGCAATCACTGTCTCTCCTATTTGCTTTGTTCAGAAAATGGTAACTTTTGGTCAGAGCTGCTGAGAAAACAGTGCACCGTCAATATTACCAACAGACATGGACGTATGAATCTCACCCTTCCTACGAAATACGCAGGGTTGTCCCCAAATAGTTTGCGAAGTGCTATCAGCTGCCAACGCTTACCACACACCGGGAACGGCTTGCCCTGCAGTTTAACACCCACAAACCAATGCAAGCAGCAGCAACACATAGTAATTTTTTAAATGTTACGCTTTCTCAAGATCCTTACCGAGATTTCTTTTTCTCTTCTTTTTCTACCTGCATTTCTTCCCACTCAAGCTTATTGCCCTTTGCTTTCCAACGGAGAAGTCTGATGGACTACCATGCCCTTTCCCTTCCAGCATGCAGACTGTGAACTGCAGCAGTGGAAGAGTTGCAGAGGATCATCAGGCCTGTGCATCCAACAGGTAGAGCTCCCAGATAAGGCATTAACATGTAGGATTCAAAGGTACGTGCAATCTGTCTCTGCATGTGCATAATCAACCTGTCTTCTCCTCCTTCCTCCACCTTAATCCCAATTTAAATCCTACATCTTTCAAGCCACTCTTTGCATCTGATAGAAGTCAGATGCAGGTCACAAAAGCTGATGCCCTTTAATAACATTTATTAGTTGGAAAAGGTGCTAACGGACTCCCTTCTAACCTTTTTGCCACTATAGACTCATCCACTGTTTCATCTTAAAGTTACCAAGGTTGAGAAACACTGGACTAACCCACCTCTCCTCCCACAACGTCTACAGCAGAGTTTCCAGTAATTATTATTACTGTATTATTTTGCAAGCTAAAACAGTGCCCCGTGCTTATTCCTTCATTGTGCAACTGGCACGTTGAGAAACATTCCGACTGCTCGGCCAAAACACGGCTTTTGTGAACAAAGTGAAACATCTATTCTGGCTGGCCACCGCTGGACAGAGAGGAATAGTGGTGAAAGGAGTAAGAGATGCAGTAAGACTTAACAGCCAAGGATGCCGGAAGTAGGCCTATGAAGGAACAGAGTCAATGAGTTTAGGAGGACAGATTTTAAGGAATTACGAGAAAACCAAGCAAGATCTGAGAGAAGCTGAAGGGTAGAAAAGATGAGTGAAGAGAAACAGCGTCTCAGGAAAGGCTTATCCAAGACCATCCTTGACAAGTAAGCAAGATGGTGAGCTGAAGAAGGCCTGTAAGGAAATCAAGGGGCTCCAAGGTATTCTGTTTCATCTTATGATTTTGATTTTCCCAGCCTGTACTGTAGAACATCTCCCATTTTTCATACCCAGCGTGTCCAATGGCTGTACCAACTGGGAAACTGGGAAAAATGAGAACTGCAGTCCCACATTCCTGGAAGTTATCAGATTTGGGGAAAAGTTAGGGAAAAGTTAAGCAACCAGACATATGTATATTTCTCCTAGTAGGACAATTCACTGAAAACCTCAAGGCCAAGAAGAGCTGTTTCTCTGTGTGTTCATTTCTTTTGTGGGTTTTCTACCTGATGCCAACTTGGACATCCAACACACCAGCACCTTTCTGAGTTAAAAAAAAAAAAAAGAATAAATATATCCTGCTTGCATTCCTATTTATAAATAAATTCTGCATCACCTACCTATAGATGCCCCTCTTAGCGCAAAACTGCACAAACCGGGGAAATGGATTTCAATGTGTGTAATTTATTCTGGTTGCAAAAGAGTCCCTACCCATCTGCTGTTATAATAAATACCTGCTTTGGGGGCCTAAATCATCATTAAAAAAATCTGTGAATTTAAGCCAGTATTAATTTTCCTCGACGAAGTGTCTCCATCAGACTCTGATTCCACCTGGGAATTTTTAAGGCCGCTTTGCCTGTCTTTCCTCCTCATACCTGTTGGAGAGGAGGTTATAACAAGGTTATTGAAAGTGGGGGTCAGGTCCCCACTTTCACATCTCCTTCATCCTCCTCAGCTGTGCCATCTGCTCAGCTTCCCTCCTCCCCAGTCCCACCTCCTTATTCACAGCACCCCCAACTTACTTGCGATTCCGCTCTTTTACCACCATGCGAGTCATGCTCTGAATGCACTGAGCCCGGTAGTTTTCATAGTGAGTCTCCCGAGTCACGTCCTTCAGGTCCTGCATATGAGTCCTTACCAGCATGGTGCGCAGCTTGACAAAGTCACAATGCGTAGGGTTCTCCACTGGCAGAAGAAGGCAGAGTTAAGCGAATGGAATTCAAGGCCATGTGGTGCAGTGATGGTCTCTAGCTCAGAGACCTCAAAAATGGAAACAGATCCATGGAAGATGACAAGCCTACTGATGGCTTTTAGCAACAACAGTGGAATGGAGTGAAAAGGATTTTAAAGATTAATATTCAGTTGAAGCCAGAACTTTTCCTTTTAGGCCTAATGGTTCCTCTTACATTCTTAGGAGACTGTGGTCCAGAGAGACCTGGCCAGTTCAAGATAAGACTTACACAGTGAACTTGAAGAGTATGCAACTCCCACCCACACATTTGGAGGAAATGTCGTCAAGTGTCTACACACAATGGGCAGCTTCAAGTGTTTTTGCTGGGAATTGTTGGTGCCATCTCTTCCCTTTTTCCTTATCGCAAAAATGCAAAAAATAAAAGTACATCTCCATAACAAACACTGTGATTATTGCTTTAGTTCTGCTAAAGGCGATTTGCCACAGGTCCTCTCTCTAGTCTGGCTACAGAGGTTGTGGACAGGCAGTGCTCTGTAATAAGCTGAAGAACTTTTTAAAGCAGCTGTTAAATTCAGGACCTTAATTCATCCTGGTCTCATTTTAGGTAGTTTAGCTTTTTTGGAATGTTCTTATCTGTAGTACTATTATCAAGAAAGATTATATATTTTCTAAATGAATCTCTCTCCCCACCCACTTACCTATTGGGATCCCCAAGCTATGTTTGGCACCCGTTCATTTTCAGGCATATAACAAATCTTGAAATTCAGCATACTTCAAATCCCAGCTTGAAAACTGGGTTTTTCAAGGCCAGCAGGAACAAAAGGATAGGAGGTGACGAGGGATGGCTCTGCCATTGAGTAGACTGAAGCAGCCACTTCAGACAGCAGGCTAGGACCCAGCAAAGAAGAAAGTGTGTTTGCTGTGTGGCCTGCTTTTGCCCCTGAACTAGTCTTTTGCCTTCAATACCCTGAAGGAAGCGATCTCATCTGTAACACAGAAGAATGATTCTACATCCACTTGGCATCTGGATGGGTTACGAAGGGTGCCATCTTGTTCTTGGCCTTACAGGCCCACATTGGGGACATCTGCAGGGGTGATCAAAAAAGCCAAGAAGGGCACAACTGCACAACTGAATCCCCACTCCTTTGCTAACTGCATGCCATGCATATTAAAAAAAGGCACTTGGCTTTGATTGTGTGGTTGTGCCCACCATCTTGACTTTTCTGACAGTTCCTGGGAATGCCCCTGTTCCACAATGTTGGGCTTGCCCCGAGGTGGCATCTTGTCAATATTTTCCCACATCCCCACCTCCTGATCTTACCAATAAGATATGGGGCACATGGTGCAAAGCTACCGTGCTCAAGCCATGCTTCCCACGTAACAACTCATTTAATGCTTGGGGACAGGAAGCTTTTATTGATTTCTACTGCCAAAGCTAAGACATTAAGCTGCCAAAGTCAATATTTTGTATTTCCATCCCACAAGAGCATCTGTAATTGGATGTTAATTCCAACTAGGGGAACATGGAAAATTTTTGCTGAATTCTGTATTCAATCGATGTAGACCCATTAGCTGTGGTCCCCAGTTTATTGAGCCAAACAGCCACACGGAGCTAGCTATAGGTTACCTTCAACGATGCCCCAAGGGTACAGCCTCCCACGGATCCGCTTGCCTTTCATCTCCACAATGGTGTTACTGCCAATCACAGCGAAGGGGATGCTCTCCTGCAGGAGAACAGTGGCAATTAGGAGTCAGCCAGGGTGGAGGGGGCCTTCCCCACTCTTCGCTACTTCACATATATTTAGGGACAAAAGAGAGTGCATTCCTCAAAAAGACACAAGGGAACTGCATCATCGACTTGCATCAACTGTGCTACCAAATTTGGCAGCATAATCAGAGGGGGTCTGAGGGCTGCAAAGAAAGAAAAGGCCTGGAAAAGAGCTGATCCCTGTTGTAAACAAACATGATGCACGAGTGCTTTGCATTCCATCAATTTCCTTTCGTTTATTTATTTAAATTAAAGGCTTCTTCTTCTTCTTCTTCTTCTTCTTCTTCTTCTTCTTCTTCTTCTTCTTCT